TAATCTATGACAAAGGAGCCAAGAATGTATACAATGGGGGAAAGGCGGTCTCTTCCATGAACGGTGTTGGGAATACTGGACTATACGTGCAAAAGAATGAAATCGGACCACTATCGTACACTGTGTAAAAACATAAATTCAAAATAGATTAAAGACTTGGACGTAAGACCTGGAACTATAAAGCTCCCAGAAGCAAACAAAGGCAGCGAGCTCTCTGACATCGGTCTCCGCGATATTTTTTGGACCAGGCTCCTCAGGCAAGGGTGACAAAGCTAAAATAAATGGGATTACATTAAACTTGAAAGCTTTTGCACAGCAAAAGAAACCATCGATGAAATGAACACACAACCTACTGAATGGGAGAAGATATTTGCAAACCATGCATTCAATAACAGGTTAATATCTGGAGCGCCTGGGTGGTGCAGTCTGTTGAGTGTCCGACTCTCGATTTCGGCTCAGGTCGTGATCTCACAGTCATGAGACTGAGTCGCACGCCAGGCTCCATGCTGAGTGTAGAACCTTCTTATGATTCTCTCTCTCCCTCTTCCTCTGCCCCTCCTCCCCCTTTCTCTCTCTCAAAAAAATAAAATAAAATATATGAAGAACTTACACAACTTCACATCAAAAGAACAAGCCAGTTCAAAAATGGGCAGAGGACCTGAATAGACACTCTTCCAAAGAAGACACAGAGATGGCCACCAGGCACCTGAAAAGATGCTCAATACCACGACTTACCAGGGAACTCCAAACCAAAACCACAACGAGCTATCACCTCACACCTGTCAGATTGGCTGTTATCAAAAATACAAAAAATGACAAGGGTTGGCGAGGCTGTGGCGAAAAGGAAACCCTCCCACACTGCTGGGGGGAATGTAAATTGATGCAGCCACTATGGAGAACAGTATGGAGCTCCCTCAACAAACTAAAAATAGAACTACAATGTGATCCAGCAATTTCACTTCTGGGTATCCACCTGAAGAAAACAAAACCACCGATCTGAAGAGATGTATGGCCCCCTATGTTCACTGCAGCATCATTTACAATAGCCGAGATATGGAAGCAACCTAAATGTCTATCCACAGGTGAATGGATAAAGAAGACGTACACACAATGGAATATTCCTCAGCCCATAATAAAGACTGAAGTCCTGCCATTTGTGATAACACGGATATGGACCTAGAGAATATTATGCCAAGTCATTAAGTCAAAGGAAGACAAATATTGCATGACTTCACCGAGATATGGAACTTAAAGCAAATGAACAAAACAGAAACAGACTCATAGACACAGGAAACACACTGTTGATTGCCAGAGTGAGGAGGGGGTTGGGGTGAGCAAAATAAGTGAAGGGCATTAAGGGGTACAAACTTCCAGATATAAAATGAGCAAATCATGGGAACGTAATGTACAGCACGGAGAACACAGCTGATTCTTGAATAACGAGGGTTTGAACTGCACGGGCCCACTGACACACGGATTGTTTTGTTTCAATAAGTACACTGAAAAATTTGGGGGGCATTTGTGACAATTTGAAAAAACTTGCAGAAAATTTTAAAGAAAAGGTATGTCAGGGGGGAGGTCTGTGGGGGGATGAGTGAAAAAGATAAAGGGGACTAAGAGGACACTTATCTTGGAGGGGGGAGCCAAGACGGCAGAACAGCACGGAAGTTTTTTGCGTGTCTCGCCTCCATGAAACACAGCCAGACCAACACTAAACCATCCTACACGCCTAGAAAACTGATCGGAGGATTAACACACAACAATCTGCACAACTGAACCACAGAATTCAGCAGGGACGCGGCGCGGAGAGCTGAACTTGGGGAACGAGAAGCCGCGGGAAGGGAGGTGCTTTTGCGGGCGGAGAGAGGACGGAGACTGGGGAAGGGGGAGCATACGGGAAAAGCACCCCTCCCCAAAAGCAGCTGGAGAGAATATGGAAAATTGGAAACAGCCACAGGGACTAAACTAAAGGGAGAAAGGAGAAAGGAGAGGGTTTAAATCCCATGGAGACTTAAACAAGGGGAGCGCAAAGGCTGCAACTCCGCAGCTCCCTACCTGGCGGAGCTCTGGCGGGAAGGGCCACACGGAGAAAAGCGGTGCCACTGCCGGAAGGACATTTGGTAGAGACTGTTGAGGCCACCCGGTCCCCGCAGACCCCGGAAAACGGCCACATTCGCTGGTGCTGGAACAGGGTCGCTGAGGGGGAAGCCTGGTGCCAGGTGTGTGTTGTGATTTTCCATCATCCCCCAGACGCCGCTGCTACACTGCCTCGCGGACTTTTTCTGGGGCGGGCTGGCACCTGGCCGCAGTCTCCGGGGTCCACGGGCGTTCCTGGGTGCGGCCGACATTCGGCCGTCGCTCGGTGAGACCCTCCCGCAGAGGGGCGGAGCGGGTCAAGGCCGCAGTCCTTCGGAAGTAAGGGGCGGGGAAAACAGCCGCATCTGAGACGGGACTCAGGAGAGAGGTGCCGCCTGGGGCTCGGTCACGGACAGTGAAGAAGCGGGAAGTGGACGAAAGCTGAAGACAGAGGACGGGTGCGCGACTGCTGATCGGAGAGAAAAGTTCCCAGGCCAGAGACTGGGGAGCCGGAGGACGCCATTTACACCGCTCGCGCGCATGCGCATAGGCACCTACCAGCGCGGCAGCAATCCACCCCAGTGGGCTAGCAGCGCCATCTAGTGGAGGACAGAGTCTTTACACTAAGCTCAGCCCAACGGGGCCAAACTCACTCTGCAAGAACAGAGGTCTCACCGCCTGCTTAGTATATGGACTGTAAAGTGCTTCATAGCCTGACTTCTAGGGGAAAACGAAGTAATTTCAGTCCTATTTCAATCTGATAGCAGGTCTATCTATTCAATTTTCTTTCTTTTTTTTCCTTTTTCTCTTTTATTCTTTTTTCTTTCTTTTACTTTTTTTTTCTTTTTTCTCTTTTTCTCTTCTACTTTTCTTTTTCTTGAATACAGAAAGAGAAAAAATTTATTTTTATTTTCAATTTTTATTAAAAATATTTCTTTAAAAAATATTTAATTTTTTTACTA